TCGCGGTCAAACCTTTTTTATACAGATATTTATGAGCTCTAACCGCTACTAGAAATAAGTCAGACAAGTGCCTTTGTTTAGTGACTTCATATGATTTTTTTCTTGAGAACAATAACTGACGTAATAATAATTATAAATAAAGAGATCTCATTTTTTTACATTAAGTTTCTTTTACAGTAAAAAATGCCCGTCATATGTTACATATTATATAATAAGAGAGAATATGCCGTGTGGTCGCGGCATAGAATAAACCACCTCTTTCTTTCCTGTGCGTGTCGTAAAAATCGACTAAAGGAGAGCGAGGAATGGGCAGCAGGATCCCTCTTAAAACATCTCTAAAACCTAACTGTGGTTGCCAACCCGTTTGCCAAGCGTGGCAACTACTGGCAACACCCTCAAGGGAGACGCTTATGTTCAGCAGTGGATAGTTTAATGCTGATATAATGATTTATGATGAATAGAGTCAATTTTTATAAATATTGTGATACAAGTATACGAAAGATTAGAATTTGCTCTGCAAACACAACAGCAACCAAAAAAAAATTAATAAATGAATGTAAGTAGATAGACAAGTTTTTATAAAACATTAAATATAAAAATATAAAAATCTATGTACAGACATAGTTTAGTTGCAATTTTATTATATATCCATATTTAACTTAATGGTAGAGGGATGAGAACTCTTAAAACATCACTAAACGCCTAACTGCAGTTGCCAATCCGCCTGCCAAGCAAAGCAACTACTGGCAAAACTCCCCTTATGCGGAAGGCTTATATTCAGCAGTGAACAGTTAACGGCTGATATAATACAGCTGATGCTGGTTCAAAATTCTAATAAAAAGAAATGGTAAAAAAATTGCTTTCAAATATCTTATAAAAATCAGCCTTATTGATTACAAAATAAATCTTTTTTATGAAATTAATTTAACCTTGGTATGTAAGATTTAAGAAACTGTGGGAGCTGAATATTATTTAATTTGGTAAGGAGAATACTACTAACGGTATAATAAGTAATTTTACCTTAACTACCTACTATTTAATTAATGATATGCCAGATTGTTAAAAATGTATATTCACAGACACAGTATGAATACAGATAATTAGTGTCTAAATCTGTAAATACACATATGACTACAAATCTCTACTTTTTTTATTCTATGAAATTTGTTAATGGATGGTAACCCCACTTGTGCTATTGGTATACACTGGCTCTTACTGGTGCCCATAAGAAATAAGAGCAGTTTAGGCATATTGTGATGAATTCATAAACTATATTGGTTTCTTAGGGGAAATGCATGGAGATTAACCTATTGCTAGCAATAAACCCTCTAGTACCTACCTGTGTTACTAACAATCTCTTCCCTTTCATGAAATAGTAGTTAACATTTTGTATCAGTAACATATTTCGACTTGTACTCTGTGTTTTTAGGGTTCCATACTAAAAAAGTACAAAGGAATGCTTATGGTGGAATGGACTTTATCCTTCTGTCACAGTATATCCCAGCAACTACTAATAATTTGAAATAGTTTTAAATATGGTTAACCCACACATATTGCAAAGGAAATAATTGATTAATTTTTTACAAGCCAAAGCAATATATCATATAAAAGAGAGTCCTGGTATTTTTTTATTTCTTTTTGTTTATATCAAAACTGATTTTTATTTATTTATGTAAAACCTGAAATAATTACAGTTTATAAAGGTATGTTAATATTACAAGAAAAATAAAATATTCTTATTGAACTAACCCCATTTTTGAGAAATTATTAAAAAACTTCTAAAAACAAATGTATGAAATTCAATTTTTAACCACAATTATCACCCAAGATAAGAAATTCCGAATTGCAATATCAACAATAATAAATATTTAGTATGTATTTTAAATAAAAAAAAAACACTATAAACACATATGTACATAAGGTGATTTGATTTTATATGTATAGAAAACTTGGTACGCGAGTTCAACTTACACTTGAGTAGTGTTTGGTTATTATTAGTGTAACACGAAACAGCATAAACTATGTTTGTAGGTTTAGACTAATAAAATTAAAATAAATAACAATGTCTACAAAAAATTTTGAAATGTAATTATGGCAATACCCTAACTTAGTCAATGACTATTTACAATTAAAATTCCATATATGTAATAGCATTTAATAAGGAAAAAGATCTATTTTAACATTCACCAAAAATGACAGATATGGACACAATAATTATTTTCTATCAGATATCTACAAATATAGATATGAATATGAATGTCTAAAACATCACATACTTTAAATCTAGCAATAACTTTAATAAGATACAATTTACATGAGTACTAGTAAGGACCTCCAAAAGGGTCCAGTTTGTGGACTGCTATTTTATATGGTTTACTATATTATATGGTTTATTATAAACTCAAACCAAAGTTTACATCATTTATCATAAATACTATGAATTGTGTAACTTGAAATTTTTTATATTAGGTATGACAAATAGTAATAGTAATTTAACTTCCACAAACACAATAAAGTTCCTAAGACAATGACTTAAGAAAAGAATATGAAGTTTAAATTAAATTTTAGACGGTTAATGACTATACTGTATTACTTTCAAAATGTTTTTAAGTTCTTTTTAGATAATACAGGAAATGAAAACCCCGATATTCAGTCAAGCATGGAGCAGCGACATAACAAAATCAAGTTATTATTTTCGCAAGTTCTAGACAGTGGAATATAAACTGGTAGAGAGTTATAAATAATTTCAATCTATGATACTTACCAGCTATAATACCATCCATCTGCAATAGTGCTGCTTCCAATAATTTTGCAGGATCCGACTCAGGCGAAGTGGGATTGTTATCGCCATCAACATGCGTCGTTCTTCCCATTCCACTTTCAAAATGCTTATGTATTTAGCTAATAGTTAATGAATAGATATAGTTCAGTATTTTCTACTTTATAGACAATAACAGTAAATAATGAAAAAATAATAAAAAGTTAACTTTTTCGATATCAACACAAATGACAATTACTTCAAAGAAAATTGACTTTTGCTTGACAAATAACGTGAATCTCTTGTACTTATCTGTGCTTTGACATTTAATAGCACATTTGACAGAAACGATTCATAAAGAAGGTGTACTTAGTCTGTGTTAGGTACTTAAAACCTAAGGACAAGGAATTACATAAAAGGAATGATAAAATAAAATCTGTAAATCATATGGTTGCCTCCTTTCTTCTTAAGCAAATATAATTAGTAAAAAGAGGACGAAATATACACCATTAGTTGCTATTTTTCTCAATTCATAGAGGGCTAGTGTATAGAAAATGTTATACGGCTGTATAACCCTACCAAATTCAGATACAACCTGCGTGCATACTTTCTACATAAACTGTATCGAATATATAATTTAGTAATATAAATAAAAAAAAATTTTATACACACATTTTCTATTTAGTTATATAGTTTGAACCTATTTCGAAATCTTTGGCTTGAACAACCCGAGGTATTTACTATGCGTAAAAAAAACAATTTGTCTAATAAAATGAAGAAACTGAAGTGTGAATGTCTATTTCGTGCCTATTCACCCCGTTTTACGACCTATCTATCTATTATATTTAAGAGGTGCTCTCTTGTCGATGGAGCTCTTACCACTCACTACTACTCTCTATGAATCTCTATCTCTAAACCACTTAATACGAAACAACACCAACTTTTTCCTTGATTTGCCTAATGCAACAGTACCTTGGTCTACTTCTTTTCCTCCTTCCTTCTATCTTACCTTCTATTATAATGTTCATAAGCTCGACGTGTCGTATCAAGTATCCTAACATTTTGTCCCTTTTGACCTCAATAGTTCTTATGATTTGTCTCTTTTCTTTAACCATAAGTAGTACATTTTACGATACTACTTTAAAAATAAAATTGTTTTTATTTATTTACAATTTACTGAAATCCAAATTTAAATATATACAAAAATATTGCATGAATTGGGTTTTCCCCTTGTTTCAGTACATTCGTAACCTTAGGTTCTAAGATATACCTTGACATGTAAATAAATATTGAACTTTTTTATAAAATTATTACTGCAATGGAATCACTATTTCTAATTACACTAAGGGATTGTTAGTAGTGGGATATAATAGCCCTATTGCGGGGGGAGGGATTGTTAATAATGGAGACTAAGGACCCCCTTGCTAGCAATATACCCTGGAAACCATTGTGCTGAATTCCAAGTGTATTCAACACGATGGGCTAACTGACCTGTCTTTTCATTCTCACCAATCATCACTCACTGGTGCCCCGCCAGCGTATATCGATTGCGCAGACGGGGTTACTATTCCATTATCACCCATTAAAAAAAAAACAGCCCTATTGCTAGCAATATGCCCTAAGAGGTCCACCTCTACGCGGTTCCCCCTGGAAACTATCGCGGGTAATTCTTGTGGAGTTCGTCACGATGGGCTAACTGACCTGATTTCATTGTCAGCTATGGTCCCTCACTGGTGTCTTGCCAGCGTATACCGATAGCGCAGGCGGGGCTACCATTTCATTATCACCCATTAAAAAAAGCCCTGTATATCCTTCTAATATTATTAACGTATAAGTGTGTTTGTTAGTCAATTAACATATCCCGGTTACGCGAAATCGCGGGTAAAAGCTAGTTCATATTCTTACCAGTTTCTTAATATTCATAGAACCCCTGCCACAATATATCCAGTAAGTAAGAAGTACTCTTTGAATCTGTATATAAAATATCCCATATGTTAAGATAGAATATATCTACTCGTTTAGCAAATCATTCAAATCCATTCAGCCGTTTAAGCATTATTGAATAACAAACATAATTTGTATGTTTGTTATTCAATCATGCTTAATACATTTCATTTATCATATTAGTACTATAAGTAGGGCTTTAGCTCAAATAAATAATAAATGAGGCGTAGTCAACATTTAAATAACAAAAATACACAAAGAACACTTTTAGAAGATATAGTAAATGATACTCTGAAAATACGTCTCATACTTTATTAATATTTTATTAGACCCTTTACCAAATTATTATAAAGTAAATAAATAGAACTACACTCGGTAATAAATACCATTTCTTGATAATTCTAAATCATCATGATCAGACGATAGAACAATGTATATCAACTGTAAATAAACTATGTCATAAAAACAAGCAAAACAGCCATATTGCAAAATACTTTTTCTATGCACATGATATTAGGGATTTTGTGTAAAATTTATTTATTTTAATGTCATATTTTAAAAATAGAATAATTTAAATATTTGATATATATATTACATGAATCCAAAAAACACATCAACATTGATATTGATCTAAGGCACAATCTGCTATATTTGATATAGTAATTCATATCACTCATAATATAATTTAACTCTTTCTTTGTAAATATTATCCATACTAAAATTAGTAAAATGTTATTATTCACCTCTAATAAAGATAACATAAAAATTGTAACAGCAAAATATCAACGATACTGTCTACAGATACAATTAATTGCTTCCAACTTTGTTAATTTATCTATCTTATATATTACATACACAACAACTTAAAACAAATTATAATGTTGGTAAGCTGTGATTTGGTATTAAGGTGAGGATCGCTATACTAAGATATTTCCCTTGATATTAGTGTTTCAAGTGGCATATTTATTATGATCAATTATCTACAATATGAAAATTTTGTGATAGACTTAACAACAGCGTCGGTAAGTAGGGCTCGATTTAATAGTTACAACTTCAATATAAAGAAAATGACAGAGATTTTATTTAAAAATACTGAAACATGTCTACATATAATCAAGTGTAATTTCACATTAGCTGGTCAATATTAAAATACTTTTAAGTATACAGTTTGAAATATTACCACACAAAATATTTATTTGAAACTGGAACAATCAACAATGTTTCTCTGTATCGCAAATAAATCAAGCGGTTGCTATTTAATTATAACATATTGCATGTTCGTCTAAAACATGGTCCGCTTGGTTTTTTGGCAATACAGACTACTATTTAATACACCATAAATAAATATAACTATATATCTTTAAACCTCTGCATTCTGTAAACACTTTATATTTAGATCTGTTCTTAATTACAGCTAAAATCTATAAAATATATTACTCTATTAAATATTAAAGGCAATATTTATCATTAGATATGGACGGATTAAGTAAAGGCGCCCAGTGGGGTTACCGATTAATTTATATTAATAGCTCTTATATTTACCTACGCTAGAGTAACATTGCGGCGGTTGCGGCAGAATTCATTTAGAAGTAAACATCCACACTATATATAACCAACAATGAAACAGCATAATAAAAGAATCTCTATAAATAAATATGTGTTGCTCGTTTCAGGTAACTCACTTGATCCGTGGTGACGGATGCCTACCGCGCGCGCCGGCTTCTAACCTAATACCATTGTCGTAAAACAAAACAAAATACATAACTTCGTTGGTAAACAATTTCAGTTCCATCTAAGTCAATTTCGTAAACTTAACAGGCAAGACCACAACCGATATTAAGTACTTATTATCTACAGGAATGTAAATCTCAGGTTACCTACTTTTTAAATAAAAATGGTAAAGGACAACCAATTTAGCAAAAGTAGGCACAGGGAATTTTATAAATTACTATAATATTTTAATTACAACAAACACGTCTACAACTAATATGAGGTCGCGTCAGTAGACTTTTATCCGATCACGCAAAGAATTTATTGTAACCTATACGTATAACTTGATACTATTACAATTTCAAGTGTATTAAGATATGATTTTTGTACATCAATATAAATTTAAAAATCGTTCACCATAAGGTTGAGCACTCCTTTCTCTTTATTAAAAAGAAAGTAAACAATAAAAACTAACTAAAAATGTTCCATATTGTGGAGAGATCTCAAAAATCCAAGTTTTGAAGTAATAATTGTCAATTATCAATTACTAGCCAGTCAACTCAGTCGCTATTTAATAAATTATGCAAGAATTAAAACGAAATAAATTATTAAAAAGGCACCAATATAAGCACGTGCAACTTTCTGCAACAGAGAATTATATTAACAACTTCAAGGAATAGGAAGCAATACTATTATGCTTTTGTGCGAGCAGAAAAAAACTTATATGCTCCGTAGTTGAGCTATATTGAGCAAGTGTAATTTTTTCAAATATTTAATAAATAATACACATCACATATATCAGCCAACTCCGCACAGAAAGTGCTTATATCAACAGTTTAAACCATAAATAATTAGATAGAAATTTTAAGTACATTTGAATTTAAATAATATATATTATTTTAGAAAAATAAATAACAACAACAAAATATTTTTAAATTGTACATTAAGTATTAGTCGTGGACTTGCATTACATGCACTTCAATAAGAAAATATAAATAAAAAAAACGGAATGCAGAATTTAAAATTCCTGTCTGTACACAATCACAATAATAAACAATCACGGAAATACAGGCTATGCCTTTCTATAACATCTTGTCAACAGTGAATGTAAAAATATATTAATTTGTACAATCTAAACATTTGTAAAATTCACTATCGCACCAAAAATACTCTAAAATTTTGTTTTTATTAATGATGGTAAGATAATTAATATACAGTTAAGTACCGTAAATTGAAATAAAACAAAATCTAGTATAGGGTAAACAACAAGTACACGTTTCCCCCACCAAAGACTCTATTTAATCTCACAAAATATGGAATGCATACGTCTCAATTTGGAATGTATAATGTTTCTTCTGAAATGTTAATATTTCAGACATTGGACACTAACAAGAATACCACTGCTCGATCTGGCCGGGGGCGGTGCTCTTGCTCCCTTTTGCGGCATACGATAACGAATACAAATTCATAATTTATTAACTGTCTAATATAATGCGTTTCGAGCAGTTCCTTATTTTACATCGTAATTTTTTAACCATCTCATTATACCCATTTTTTCAATTAAGTACTAAAATATCCATATAAATATCTTCACTCATTTATCTATATTAATAACCACTAAAATATACCTTGACGTAATTTGCACTTTTAAAACAAAACAGCTTCGGGGGGACGTTCAGCGTATAGCATATTCGAAGCACTTCAACCCAACAGTGTCTGAAGTGATTGAATCAATAAATGAGAAAAAAAAGAAGTTGATATAATTACAGTTTCATACCAAGATGTATGTTAATTAGTAAAAGGAATGTGAAATATATTTGAAGTGCTTACGGACTATGCACACAATATATACGAAAAGTGCATCATCAAACACGAAGTCAGTGATTGTCGAACGGCCCCCCTGCAAACAGTCATTGGTGACTTTTGCTGAGCAGGTGGGAGTTGAACTCGTAGACGTTGCAGCACTGTTCGCCGCAGATATTGCATTTCCACGGGTTGGAGTCGCAGTGGCAGCCTTTATGTAAAAAGTATAGAGTGGAGTCGGGGAATGTTATAGCGCAAAATGTACATACGAGTGAGGACGGCAGCATAGCGGCGTCGCCATGGGTAGAGGTGATTACACCGCCTTCGGAAGGTGATGCCCGGGAGGCCTGTAAACATTTTCAAGCTATAAGCAAATATATAAAAAAGTGGTAAAATATTTTAAATGTACATCCGGAATACAAAATAAAAAAAAAATCTAAGTTTTTATCCTCGTATGGGGTGATAAAATGGGATTCACCATCGCGTTATGGTCACATTTACTGCATTAGATTCACGTAACGAATAAATATTTACCGTTAACGAATTCAAATAAAAGTGAAAAAAAAAAACATATAAATGGCAACACAGATATTCTACTAGACTATGATTAATCAGGAAAATTAACTTATAATAGATACGCACATTTGAATTTCTAGCGCGTCCGCGAGCCGAAATACGCCTACGTAAATCTTCTCTTAGAAGGCTCTTTAGCGGAGACACCTTTATCAACGAGGATAAACTCGAAGAAACCCCGCGCTTATCTCCACCGTTAGCTTCGCCTTCCTTTACTTCACCTGAGCCTGATTCATCTTGTGTGTTAGGTTCCTAAAATGTTAAATTATCAAAATACAATTTCTGCAATAACTTCGACAACAAGGTAAAGTAGAAAACCGAAACTAACGTAGACTTTAGGCATAAGAATAAAATATATTGAATAAATGGACAGATTGTTTAGCGTGGTTCTGACAAATATGTTTATAATGACTCCTCTACACCTAAAGAAAAGTTGCCTGGAGTATGAAGAGATCGCTTTTAATGATATGGTTACCCATTATTTTGTTTCTGTGTATTTTTTTTTATTATTTGTATTTATAATAAATTTACTACTGTAATATTTTGGAGGAAACCATAAAGAGTATCTATTTATATTAAGAAAAAGATTATTTTTCTTTTTAGTACGCCGACGCCATCAATATGTATTATATTCTGCTCCTGAGAACTTGCGTTTACCAACAATATCTGAATTGGATTGTATTATTTCTTTACACGAGTTGGAATATCAAACAAGCCGACGACACGTTAGATAGAAAGCTGTAACCGCAGACTTGAAAAGCACTTCGATCATCATTAACATAATGCTAAGGCTTGTTATTGTTGACATTTCTAATGATAAAAACATGATTCCTCTGTGCCCAGCAATTGCACTAATATATAATATCCATCTAATAAATTGTTTTAAATCCATTGCCATTTTAATACTAATAATAACAATATATATACTGTACGTATGATTGCAATAAATAATCTTGATATCTAGAAATAAAAATATTCAATTCAGTGAATCACCGGAGGATCGTAGCGTCCATTCTGTTATCATCTCCATTATCTTGTTTCTTCTCCCTCTCATTCTGCTTACTATTGATGTTGATTTTTTGCGCATAACTGCGTAGATATCATCCACAGTAGAATCCGTTTACATGCCAGATACACTACAGAAGCAAAGAGCCTAAACAAGGCCCTGAAGATGTTATTGTACTGGATTCACAAGGCACTATTCGGTTCCAGCGTAAAGTCGATCCACAGAGCACAGGTGTAAAAACTCTGACAATATGCTTTGAAAAGTTTATGTTTTACTACCGTCGTATATGTATCGAATATATATTTAAACTGTTCAACAGGATTAAGAGGCATCTTATTCAAAAAGATTTGAGATACACGTGCTGGTTCTTTAAGCTATCTTTCAACACTACGAACTTAATTTTTATTATTATATCTTAAACCGTGCTGCATTGCAAAAACCTCACAAGGACATAGAAGTTTCCTCAGACCATTAACAACTGAGGAGCACCGTGTCGCCTACATAACTAGTGTTATTAATACTCATGTTTTCGATGCGATAACCTACTTGAATGCGACTTAGCTTCTTAATCAGGTTATTTACATATAAAATCCAATAGTCTAGGTGAGCTTAATTCCCCCTGACTTACACCACAGTTCAAAACATATTCATTGTAATATGCATTTATTGATTTTATTATATTCTTTTGATTACTACACCAATGCGAGAATACACCCACTACTTTAGGAGAGAGATGTCTTCCCCCTTTAATTTTGTCCAGATTACATCATATGACAGGTCAAACGCTTTTAATAGATCTAGGAAGCAAGCATACGCCGTTGTTTCTCTCTTAATATAGTAATTAACAACATACTTTAAGAGATAATATAGCGCTCTCAGTGGATAAACCTTCACTAAAACCAAATTGTGGGTCATGCAGCTATATCCGACTACTTAGGTGAATATTTAATATTCTATGTAGAACTTTAGCAATTGCTAGTGCGATTGGTGTATTATTATTGAAGTTGTCTAGGGGCGCGAATGTTGTATTTTATTCTTATGCCTAGATAGACACCGCAAGTACTTCAATTTATAATAAAACAAACGTGTTAAGCGGTAACACGATTAGCTTTTATGTTATAAACCTTATAGCAAGGGGGAAAAGCGATTGTTAGTAATGGAAACTGAGAATCCCATTGCTAGCAATATACCCAACCAGGTCGACCTCCTCGCGGTTCCCCCTGGAAACTATCATAGATAATTCCTGACGAATTCATCATGATGGGCTAACTGGCCTGTTTTCATTTACATCTATCAACCTTCAATGGTGCTCCGCCAGCGTATCCCGTTAGCGCAGGCGGGGATAACATTCCATTTTCACCCATCAAAAAAAAAACCTTATAGCAAATCTCCTTGCGTAGTAAATTAATCTAATTGTTTTTTTTTTTTTCGATAATACTTTTGTGTTAATTTTCTGAGTTCCAGAAAAATTACTCATAATTTTTATATACTAAATGATTATTAAATGACAGAGGTTAAATGATTATTAAATGACAGAGGTTAAATGATTATTAAATGACACTATTGTAATTGTCTCTAAGGATATATAATTTATGGAAATGAATGGATCAAAATACTTAGAAAATTATAATTTTGTTTATTTTATAATAAAACATAAACTAGATATGTAATGACTATATGTTAAAGATAATTTAAGATTTTATTGTACTAATGACACCAGTTGTTATGAAATTCTCAAAGGCACAGTGTAATGTACGAGAAAATTTCGGGGAATTGAAAATTTCCTTTAATATATGCTAAAACTAAGTTTATGCTTATGCATGTTGCTATATCTTCGTCAAATCATAAATGATTTTAATAATTCTTTTTGCAATAGATAATTTTCTTTCATATTGGACCTATATGTATTTTATTACGATTAATAAAAAGTGTTTTTAAACAAAATGCCAATTAATAATTATTTACTTAAGTACTGCGGTACTCACCTGTTTAATAGGTATGAGTGTAATTGATGGAGTGATGTTGGTTGGGAGGCCTGCTGATAGGGAGCTGCTAGCGACTGCGCTGTCTCCAGACTGTGGTGAGCTGGGGCCCTCGCCGTTCATGCGCGTATCTGTCTCGTCAGTTGGTGGAATATGTATAATTAATATAGGATTCCAACAATAGAAAAATATTTGGTATATACCACGAATATGGCAAGGACGCCCCGCGTCCCTTCCCATGTAACAATGTCACTTTATTTTATCTATCAGTCAACTCATAGCACACGTTCTGTTTGAGACTAGATGGCGAGATGTAATAAGCCATGTAGTATTTATCTACTTATAAATGTCAATTTATTATTGAAGGTTCACATTAAATCCTTAAAAAAAATAGAAAAAGGGAGGAGACGGGTAATGTATTTTGTTACTAGCTATGCTTTGTATGATATCTTCTACATAGCCAGTCGAAATTAAAAACAGATTTGATTATTGGTTAGTAACAGCATTAACAAAAATTACTACATTCTAAGTAATTTTACTAAATGGCCTCTCCATTAAGTAAAATTATTTAGTGAATTTGAATTGTGTGAATTTTATGATTCCCTGGAATGATTCTTAGGAGATATATATCAGTTTTTAAAATGAGCTAATATTCGAAATGCAAAAAATTTTCTTTAAAATAGTGCTTCTCGTAGTGCTATAATTCATGTTATTTTACTATACATTTTCAATATAATATATAAAATAGGTATTAAGATTCTTTAAAAATATTTACCTGAGTTGCCCAAGTGGTTTGATTGTCCAGGAGAAAATGTTTCGTTGTTATCAGCCATGGATATTTCCACATGTGGAGTCAGATAATGCATAGGTGGAGTAGCATTATCCACAGAGCGAGCTCCATTGCTCTCACCACTGTCTGAATATGCCGGAGCAACAGATACCGAGAGACCAGTGCCCAATGCTCCCAGCGCATTCATGGCAACAGGGTCCATAGTACCATCAGCATAGGCTGCATTAGCTATTCCAGCAGCGAGAAAGGAAACATTGTTACCAGGGCCTGGATTATCCAAATCGATTCCATGTCTGTTGATAAATCATACATTTAAGTCACCCAATTTAATTTATAAATCATAAATATTGTTATTAGTAATTTAAAATATTGTTACCTATTGAAGAAGTGAACTCGGAGACTTTTCATAGTGGGAGCACGGTAGCTGCACAGGGGGCAAGTTTTGACAAGGTCATGCTGTCCAACATGTTCATTCTGAAAGTGCGCGCGCATGGCGATTTGGCGCTGAAACCCTCGATTACATATTGGACAGTGGTACGGCAAGCTTTTTGTGTGAGTTGTGAAATGTTCAGCAAGATGGTCCTTTCTGAAGAACCTCTTTTGACATACACGGCATTCATAGGGTTTGACACCTGTGTGCCGCATTTTATGTCGACGCATGTTGGCGCCATTTGAAAATTTCATATTGCACACATCACACTCAAATAACTTTCTGTGCGGACGAGCATCCGCGTTTTGTGCAGCTGCCACATTATTATTATCCGGTGAACACTGTGCCATGTGTGTAGTTAAAGCCCGACTACTTAATGTACTAAAACTATTGCATGTCGTGCATTTTAATAAAGTACCGCCCCTTTTCGGAGTTTCCTTGCTGCTAGCTGTAGCTACCTGAAAATGATAAGAAATATGATATTTAGAATAGTAGGAGTAAAAATAAATATTAATGCTTATTTTCAGGACGAAATTAACCATGTTGGGGTCCCTATATAAGGCATGCTTTGTTTACAAGAAACTTGTATAATATTATTCTACATATAGTAATTTGAAGTGTGTTATGAAATATAAAAACCCCAAGGCAATAATATTTTCGTTGAGTGTTTGTTAGGTATAAATTTTCAAATGTAATATTTACTTTAAAAAAAAAATACTGGTTACAGGGAAGACAATTACACTGCCTAATCCAACCCTGATTATTTGAAATGGAATTTTGAAACTTTACAACCTGTATGAAACTCCAATATTACAAGCAGTACATGTGCATTCATTTATACATATTAGAAAAAAGATAAATATACCAAATCTAAGAACATAAAACCAGAGGATTTGGTTTCATCATCACAAGTTAAATAAATAACATCTTTCTATCTTGGTATCATAATTAATCTTGAATTTGCACTACTATAATGACATTATTAATAACTGTTATTAAACTAAACCTAATTATTTAGTAATAGTGTAGTAATAATTTAAGAATTTTATACTAGTTTTTTATGATTTTACTGTCCATTAACACTGCAATTCCAGATGATGTAATGATATAAGAATGGGTAAGTTCAAGGGCTCAACTAATCACTGTAAAATTTTGTATAGGTAAACTTTAGGGAAAATGATGTCTATCATATACATACATATCTTATAGTAAATATTAATAAGTAATAACTGGTATAACATAAAACAACAGTATAATACTAAATAACTAAACCCAGTGGTTTGATATTGTCAAAATGTTATTCATCACTATTCTGATACACAACCAACTATTAATTATTACAATTATTATAATACTATATAATCAATATATATTTATTAAAGATTATTTAATGTTACAGTTTACCAGTACCATAAGAATACTTATGTATATCACATTTATGCAATAAGTATAAATAAATATAAATATTTAGTCATAGACCCAATCTAAATTTTATGTCTTATTACTGTAGACAGATTACAAGTATGTACATTTATAGTCACAATTTATGAAGTAGTGTATAAAATAAAACTAATGCAACACAACTAACACTATACAATACTTTCTAGCCAATTCATAGGTTAGAATTGTATAGTTGACATATTTTACCTGGTAATCTAGAATGCAATATACCTAACATGCATTTAGTTGTGACCTTGTACAAAGTCTTATGCTCAGTAATACATTATAAAACTTAGAAAATGATACTTGTAATAGTCTTTTATTGAAAATTTTGACCAAACTTGATTTCATGAAAAAATATCAGCTGTTAATTTTTTTTATAGACTAAATAAAAATATAAATAAATATCATATTTACCGGTTCATTTTTGACAGCAGGTAAATTTGGTGACACGGTGCCTGAATCGGCCTCTGTTTCCCCTTTTGATGACATCACATTACCAGGTCGCAGTCCGTCTCAACATCACTCTCCCGCCTCCCGAAACTATTGAAAACATAAACACTGATATAGCAAAACACACAGTAATCGTAACGCAATAATGCTTAATATCATGTTTAAACTAGAGTATACACAAAACAACTAGCTTCTCAGAAGAATGGCGAGGTGACCCATTTACGAAAACATATGAATTATCGACTCGCGATATACTATTTATAAACGTTATCTATTACATCCGATGTATATCTCATATAGCTCAACTTTAACATAAAGATAAATTAATAACGCGTCTTTAAATTAAAACTTACGCTAGGTTGATACGTCGACAACCCGAACAGCGGTATTTTAGGGAGAGATCGCTATGTGGCCTAATTCAATGCTGAACTCGATGCACAAAATACGTGTTACACGTATAACTGTAAATACACAATTTCGTGAATCTCACTATTATCTTAACTTATTTAGACTTTGTAATACGTTAACACTTAATATCCATATTATTTATTGGTTTTAAATAAAATTATAAACTATTAACCAAAAAACCCATTTTGATAAAAAAACCATACACCTGTGAGGTTGTGAGTGATTTTCTTTGAAACAGATTTTATTGAACTAGCAACACATTAACAACCTGAAGACGTCACTTGACTAGGTTTTCGCTCTTTCACACTCTTACATATGCGTATAATCTGTCTTTATCACTCGTTCGGATATTTTGAAGATGAACTGAAGAATTAGGATGAACAAATATGGGTGCCTTTTGGAGTCATAATTTTTATACGAATATAATAAGCAAAAATTTAATTGTAGGCAGAAAAATCAATCCCATAACAACTTTAATTATTTTGCTAAATACTGACAAATTGTGCGAAAGAGACATTGCGGACACATTGCAAGATTAAGATATCCTTCTTTCATTATCTAAGTCTATATCCCTTTGATTAATGATAAAAAAACTGTATTACCATGAAATAAGGTTCATTTTAAGCTGAAACCCTTTTCTTAATTAAATGAGTGACAGCTTACTGATACTATTATTTGACAACAATGGGACCAATTCTGAAGGAGTATTTCTCTAAACTTATTCCTTAACCTAATGTTTTACTTTTTTATTTAATGAAATTGCAATTTTATGAATCATTATAAACTAAATTTACAATAATATTAACCTAAATTAATAGACAAATAGTTCATCCTTAAAATAAAGGTTTCGCTGTGATATCAATTTTAAGTCTTAATTTTAGAAATAGGTGTAGACAAATGGCGTTTCAGAATCGATTCTAATGACAACAGTTTGACAATAAAAAGTTTTGACTTTTACCAATGTTAAGAAATGTCCAATCATAACACGATAATAGTGTTGTTTTTCAATTTTGTAATTAGATTTCCTACAATTCCTTAATTGTTACTTACCTAATATTGGAATTCACTCTTATATTTCAGAATTAACGAAAATCATATTCATAAATTACTAATAGCAACTACTTAACGACATAAGAGTACTATTACATCTAACAAACTAGTTGACTATATGAACGAAAACGAAAAATATTATTTGGCAACAGCTGCTGCTAGAGTGTAGTAATTCGGTTGCAGTTTTTGTAATCAGTGATTTATTTATAAGAAGTACAAGTTTCTTTGGTCTGAAGTACCCTTATGGTTTTTTGGATGAAGATTCTTTCAAGAATGCACACTCAATAAACATTAATTGTACTATGTCATAAGGCTTAAAAATGTGTTCATCTCATATAATAACATTCTTCAGCCAGTGGAGATTGTGGATTAGGCCATTTTTAATTGCACTTTATGCTATAATAGTTGTTGTGTTAGTGCCTATCCTTGTAGCTCATTCAATAAAAAATGGCTTTAGAAAGTCTGACCAGGGAGCCTTGATCGCAGGAGGTTTTGTTCTTCTCGCATTACCAATATCTATATGGCAGATTAGTCAACATATTTTTCACTACACCAAGCCTTCATTACAAAAGCACATTATAAGGTAGGTGATTTGTTTGAATTTTATAATGTTATATTTCTACCTACAACATTTTTTTTATAAGTAATGTAAAGGTTAATAATGGATATACAAAAAAAACTTTTTAAACTGTAGATTATGATAGCTTTTGTATAATAGTGTGATAGATACAGATAAGAAAATGTCTATCCTCCTTTTTTCATGTTTATGCATAGTATTGCTATTTTTAGAATATTGTGCATGATAATATAGGCCTTCGACAATTTATATATGAACTGAGTGCATGCAATTAAGTAGATCTGGTGGATTGTTTCAGACGTTTTGAAACTTTTTTTGTAAATCAATAGAAATGAGTATATAACTTGACTGATGGTCTTGTTACAAGGTCGTAAATCATGGTATTTAGTAATTATATTACTATGTTTCTCTTTTTCTATTGTAACATTAGTATATAAGCAGAGCTAATTGTAAAGAAAAATAGGTGAGATAGGTGTATCCATATCAGCAACTATTTTATATACTAATTAGTAAATTCTTATTTACAGAATATTATGGATGGTGCCTATCTATGCTCTCAATGCATGGATTGGTCTAGAGATTCCAGAGCAATCAATTTATATGGATTCTCTTAGAGAGTGCTATGAGGCTTATGTTATATACAACTTTATGAAATATTTATTGAATTATCTGAATGAAGGACAGGACCTGGAAGCACTTTTGGAGACCAAGCCACAGGTGTATCACATATTTCCCTTATGTTGTTTAACACCTTGGGAGATGGGAAGGTAAGCATATTTTTACTATTAATAAAAATAGACAATAAACTTTTTATAGTTGCCATATTTGATAAATAGTCTTGGAATATCTGTTATCAACATATGAATAAATAGCTAACTAGTATAGAATTAGCCACCTCTTTGTTTTCCATGGGTGTCATAAGAAGCGACTAAGGGAGAGTGATATATGGTCAGCAGCGTCCCTGTAAAAACATCTCCAAAGCCTAACTGCAGTTGCCAATCTGCCTGCCATGCATGGTTACAAATGGCAATAATCCCCCCCCCCCCCCCTTAAATGGGGGAGGCTTATGTTCAGCAGTGAACAGTTAAAGGCTGATATGATAATGATGATTTGCTAAATATGTAAAACATTGAAAAAGTAATATTTCTGAGACAAAATGTAATAAAGAATTAATTTAATAAGTAATAAACATGTGGTGTCCTTGATAATGTCATCACAGCTTAACCAAGTATCTATTGATAAAATATGTGCATGTACTTATCAACTTTAATATTATGTGAAACTGTAAATGTAATAATTCTTTTCATTTCAGGGAATTTGTACATAACTGCAAACATGGTATACTCCAATACACAGTAGTGAGACCTATAACTACAGTTATATCAATGATATGTGAGTTAAGTGGAGTATACGGGGAGAGTGACTTCAGCCCTAAAGTTGCATTTCCATATATGATAGCTGTCAACAATCTATCGCAATTCATAGCCATGTACTGCTTGGTGCTCTTTTACAGAGCTAACAGAACTGAACTGAAACCAATTAAACCAATTGGAAAGTTTCTTTGCATAAAAGCTGTTGTTTTTTTCTCTTTCTTGTAAGTTATTGTTATTTTATATTTTGCTTTAATATTTTTTTGAAAAATAATAGTATTTACATAGTTTTTATATAAGATGCTACTAAAATAAGATTTATAAAAAGAATAAAGTATGAAAAAATCTTTTAAAGAATTAATAATTATTTAAATATGTATTTAAAAAGCTTATTAAAATAATTGGATTTTTTATGAATAATATATTATAATAGTAGAGATTCCTATATAGGTTTTCTATTTTACGAAATTTTCTCTAATTTTGATAACTTTTCCATTGTTTTGCAGCCAAGGTGTAATTATTAATATTTTGGTATATTGTGGAGTAATATCAACAATATTTGATATATCTGAACAAGACAAAATAAAAATCATATCATCCAAGCTACAGGTAAACAATGAATAAAATATGTAATATATTCTATATATTACATATTTTATATATATGTAATGCAATATTCTTTATTGATATGTGGTACATTTTTGTATCATTATAATTACATTACATATTATTATATCAACTTAAAAATAAATTATAAAGCCAAATTCTATGTTAAAAATCTTGATTTTGTTCATATATCTGGCAGGAGTGTATATATGTGCTACATAAACATTACTAGAACAATATTGAATTATGCAAAGATTTTGGACCACCCTCTCCTTTTCCCAACTCCCTCTGTATGTATACCTAGGCTACTAATCGTAAATTCTTAATTTATGTGTTGCAGGATTTTCTCATCTGCATTGAGATGTTTTTGGCAGCTATCGCTCACCATTACAGTTTTTCGTACAAAGAGTTTGTGTCGCAACAGGATCAGTCACCATCATGTCTCGGATCTTTCTTGGCCATGTGGGACGTGTCGGATGTTAAACGGGACATATCTGAGCACTTGGGTGTAGTTGGTAAGTATTATACAAATATATTTAAGTAACAGAATGGATTTCAATAAAATTTTACACACAGATAATTTATGTCTTCAAATACACCATATTATCCAATTAATAAAAGTAATAGTGTGCATAGCTATCTGTTACATCCTAAAGATATGTAATATTTAATTATTTCTTTAAACTTTACTGCACAGTGAAATTCTGTATACATTTGGCGGTCTTAACACGGGACGGTTTTCTTTACCAGTCAACCATTGGGCAAATAGAGAAATAAGTAGGCAGTGCATTCATGAGGAAATCGTAATTTAATTACTGAATATATTTATATATTATAAACATATAGACTTATGTAAACATATATATATATATATATATATATATATATATATATATATATATATATATATATATTACCAATTACGTATTAGAACAAATTAAACAATCAATGTGTAAAAAAAAAGTAAGCAGCAAAGGTTAAGTTTAAAGGAAAAATGAGAAAAAACAATGAAGAGAAAAAGACAAGTTTATAAATCGGCATTTTAAAATTTATATATGTATTTTTTATACAGGGAGCTCATTTAGCAGAAGACTTCGCGGCAAATCCATGTATCACATGACTCGTGGGTACGACGAGAGTTCAAGACTTGTGAATGAGGGGGCCACCTCTAGTTCTGCTCCAAACTTGACAGTAAATACCGAACCTCCACCTGTGGAAGTGCGACCGACTACATATGGATCCATACATACCACACTGACAGCAGAGCCTACTAATTCCGAAAACGAACCATTACTCAGTGCATCTGATGAAAATACGAATGACAATCCGAAAGTATAAAATATAAATATAAATAATATTGTGATATTCTGAAAACTGGCTTCTCTTGTTTGTATCCATGGTAAGAATAAAATCTATTTAGTATGTAAATGTGTACATACATTCCCCATTGAACAATATTTATTTTCTATTAATGATAATTTATTTTCTAATATATAAACATTAGTGTAATTAGTAAAGATATGTGATTATTATTGATGATAACTAACTTTATGTGAATTGATAATACGGGATTTTAAAAATTCCTGCATAAACAGTGTAACCAATATTTAAGTATTTTTAATAATAGATAATTTGCCTTACATACATACACCTTTATACCTTATGTAATCTTATTTTGGTTAATAACTTTAATTTGACTAATATTGTGCAAAATCTTACGTATTATAGATAATATTTTTTACAGATCTTGAGTTGATTACTAATGTTTGCTTATAGTTTGGATCGGTAACCTTAGATTTGAGTGTATTTATTACAGACTTTTACGACAAGAAATGGAAATATAAATTATCCATTAGAGTTGTTAACGATTTCTATTACAAAATAATGTTTGTAAACATGGTAAAAGCGTAAAAACCTAACTCATTTTTGCTTTTCGTAAATGCCTAAAACAATAATAGAGAGTTTACATACTATCAAAGTACATAATGCTGTTAATATTTTGTTATTACGAATAAATGATGTAATTATTTTATAATTAAATGCGATTATAGTTTACCAAATTAATATACTATAATAATATTGTACCTATGATCTAGTACTTATAAAACATACTGATTGACTATAAAATATTGTTTATATTTTATTAAATGTGATATTATTTTATATTAATAAGAAATTTGTTGTTTTAGAAATAAAAATATCTTTACTTATTTTTTAAACGCTTTTTAAATTTGTCCCTTGGTCTTTAACAGACTCGTTTGAAATTGATAGAGAATTTTAGGACAGAAATTTCATCAGACTGAGGGTTCAGTGAAGCTGGGGTGCGTGTATCTAATAAAGTAAGTGGTTGCCTATGTGATGATTGCCTAAGATGTGTTCGCTACGCTTACTAGTCGTTTTAACAGCCATGAAGTAGCAATTATGCACAAATATTGCATAATAACTATTAAAAAATAAGTTTTTTTAATGGGTGAAAATAGCATGGTAACCCCACCTACGCTATAGGTATATACTGACCGGGCACCAGTGAGAGGTGATAGTTGAGGATGAAAAGGCAGGTAAGTTAGCCCATCGTGACGAATTCAACGATAAATTAGTCACGATAGTGTCCAGGGAGAACCGCGTGTAGACCGACCTGATAGGGTATATTGATAGGAATGGAGACTAACCTCCCCATTACTAACAATCCCTTCTTCCCCCTGCAAAGGTAAGTTATAGTGCATAACATTATCTGGGAAGAAAGGGATTGTTAGTAATGAGATCTAACAGTTTTACAGCTAGCAATATACCAGATCAGGACTATCTCCACGCGGTTCCCTTTAGAAACCATCAAGGTAAATTTTTTGGAATTCGTCACGTTGAGCTAACTGATCTGCTTTTGTCTTCACGTATCATCTTTCACCGGGGGCCCGCAAGCGTATACTAGTAGTGTAGTCGGGGTTACCATTCCATTATTATCTATTAAAAAAAACATTATTCTAAGAGCTAATAACACATGCGTTATAAATGCCGTGGGTAGCACATTATATTTAAGATTTTCATAATAAATTACTTTCTGGTAAATAAAGGAAGAGTAAACATAAAAAAATGCAATTTCAGTGAATTTATTAAATATAAATAATTAAATTCATTAAAATTATACACAAAACATGTATGATATATGAGTTCTTACAGAACTCATATATCATACATGTTACATTTATTTATTATTCACTACCTATGTAATACTAATGCAGTCACCCATAAGAGCTGGCTATTGCTAGGTATCTTATTATTATTACTGAAATGTGTAAAATAAGTCAGACTGCTAAATTGAATATGTATTTTTAAGGTAGACTCAAATATCGTATATTACAAAAAAAAATACATTCAAATTAAGAACTTTTTGACGGTTATTTACTAACAATTATTAAAGTATAAAATAATACTATAGATAGACAACATTGGGTATGAAAAATTTCTATACTGTTTACACCTATGCACGTCCCGATTGTTATACAAAATGGGACTAGAGAAATTTTGTTTGAATTTTTTTATCCAACAAAGTATTATTTCTGTGCATCACTTTATAATGTCTGTAATTATATTACAAATTAATGAGCCTGTTAATAACATATAACAAGGAATGTATATAGGTAGGTATAAATAAATAATACACCTGCAAAAGTAGTAATCTAGCTTTTGAACTATGAAATATAAAGGTAAATCTCTAAAATTAAAAGTAGGAGTACAACTCAAACTACTTTGTATACAATAATTCTAATATATAATAAACAATGACAGGATAAACAATAGTCCGCTTTGATTACAAGTATATATAAAAATATATCTTAGGCCAGTTTATATTATACAGCGTAAAATAGCACACATTATCTCATTCAAAATATTTCATATTATTTATCTGATGTATTTATTCCATATCATAAAGACTGACTTCTCAAGTGCATCGGCTATCATTTCTATTTTAATAAATACTTATTTCATGATGATAAATGGTAGATATGTCATCACTTATAAACTAAAGCAATATTAAACACAGCCTTATTATTCCGCCTATATAAAATAAATCACTTATTTTTACTAAAATATACTTAGGTGTAGAAAATTAGATAAATGTAGTACAATATTTTTCACTCATACTTATAAATATAAATATTATAGAGTGAAGTTATAGCAGTCAAGTATATGTAAATATCTTTAGATGTAGATACTGTTTGGTGGTAATCACATAATTTACTGATATTATTCTTTAGCTGACTCTAATTTTGTTCTACTGAAATTTTCTAATGCACTAAGTCCAGCTTTGAGACTGTTCATTTCAATTTTATTCCATAATGTACCCATTAGTAGATAGTAGAAACAAAGGCCAGTCAGTATTATTTTAATAACATCATAAATCACATTGTTCGGCCAAAAGCCTACTGTTCCTAATAAAAACATAAACAGCAAACCACCTGATGTAAGGAAAAGCTTTTTTGACCTTTTTATGTTTTCAGTAGCTTCTTGACAGACTTCGATAGCTTGTGCCACAGTTGCATCAAAGGAACTATTTTTACTGTATTGTCTTTGTCCAATTTTCGAGTCATTAACAGATTTTAACCGCATTTCTAAGGTGACAGCATTGTGATCTGAGTATGAAAATGGGTGACCAGGTACTCTGTCTTCCAAAGGATTCCCGAAGTTGATGATTTCAGTCTGTAAAAATCAATTATAAATAAATAAAGTACGGTTTCTATCCCAAAGAAAAGATGATACTAATGGAGATTAGAGTCCTATTGCTAGAAAAATATTGTTTTAACATCTGTGTTGATAAATTTGTTTTTTTTTTCTCATAGACATAGTATGAATATAGCAGTATATCATAATTATAATGTCATAAGGTATGTAACAATTAATTTTATTTATTTATTCTTTATTGCACAATAAAAATTTGTATAAATGGCGAGCTTAATGCCATATGGCATTCTCTATCAGCTAACCATTAAGTAAAAATAAAGCGTATGAAGGGCAGATGTGGTGAAAAATATGTAACAATTATAGTTACACATTAAAGCAATCATATACAATACATAAGAAATACACATATAATATATACACACACACACACACACACACACTATATATATATATATATATATATATATATATATATATATATATATATATATATATATATATATATATATATATATATATATATATATATTATTATATCTCATAATGATAAATATTATGAGATATAATAACTATTGAGTAACTTGTAACTAGAGCTGGTTTTTTTTTTAATATCCTGTTATTTATCTCCATTATACATATATTTTTTAGTATTAAATTATAAATTTTAAAATATAAGAATTAGATTATAAAATACAAAAATTACCTCCAATGCAGAATTCACATGAAACAAAATGTGGTCTATTCTCTTCCCTTCTGGAGCATCTTTTATTAGTTTTTGATTGCTGTAACTATTGTTTGCAGCATCACAGGTTCCAGAAGGATTTTGAATTGCTGGATTGCTTCTTTCACATTTCATATCAAAAGGATCGAGGAGCTGAGGCAACTGTGTAATAATTCTATAAAACAAATAATTCTATAAAAAAAATCCATGTCAACTTTTCTGTTATTCTATTCTATTATTTCATAGAAACAATGCACTGCGTAGAAGGAATGAATGTTAAAGCTATTATATATACTTTGTTAGTTGATTATAGTTATTTTGTTTAATTCTGCTACCATTAATATTATTATGGACGACGCAAATGACATCTAGTTTATAACAATATTATATATACTACTAATATATTAAATGTGAAATTTTGTAAAGATCTTTGTTACTCATTCACACTAAACAGATTTGAATGAAATTTGGGACATTGTTTGGTGTGTTTTATTCTAACTAAAACATTGATTATATACAGAATAATGTGGGCAAATTCGCAGGAAACACCAAGTACACAATATACACACTAAATAAAAAAGTTACCTAAAAGACAAATCCCCTGGTGCTGTATTCAGATCTCCTGCAAGTATGGATACATCTGCTGGTGATGTAGTCAAATTGACAAATTCAGCAGTAGAGTATGCTTGCAGCACTCTGTGTGCTAGGTACATATCATCCTCATGATATTCTGCATGTAACTGCAAATTAATGTTAAATTTCTCACTGTAGATTCAAAGGTCAATTAAAAAATAAAAATTTAATCATCATTTTTATTCTTTCATTAGCAATAAGTATATAATACTAGAGACTCGACCCAGCTTTACACAGGTAGAGGGGTAGAATGATAAATTAAGTAAAATATAACCCATGAATAGTAATTTGTTAGTGGCATATACCAGCAACAAATATATTTCCAAGGACCTTCCTCGGGTCCTTGTTTGATGACAGGCAGGAGGCTGATTGTAGAACTTGAAGTTATTATAGAACTGAAGCCAAAACTTTAGGTAATAAATAAAAACTTATGCCGAGCCCAAAATTTATATAATCGGGATAAGGGTAGGAAGATGATAACAGTCTATAAATAAGCTAATAATGTAGTATTCTACAAGAGAAAAGTTTTAAAATGCATTAAGTATTTTTTGTTGAAGGAAAAATCAAATTTTTCAGCTAATCCGTCCAAAGTACATAAGGATAAATAATGTTAAGAAGCCTCATATTAAAGTAATGTCTGGAATGAATAAATTCATTTGATGATTTTTTATTTCTATAATTGATAAGGGTACACTGAAATCTAGCAAAGATTTTAATGTTTGTTATAATGAATTTATATTGTGTACTTTTCTTATGATGTATTTTTTCTCTGTACTTATACTGAGGTCAATAATAAAATTATGTTTAAGAATAAAAGATACTATTTAAAAAAAAGTTTTATTTTTATGATATGCTTGTACCATCTTAATATAGATTTTAATGATTTATGAATCTTAAGAAGGATTTTGGGTCTTCTTTTATGCACATTCCTATTATTTTTATGCTATTAATTATAGTAGTATCTGCATGTTGTTCCTATAGTTTTGATTTTAGGCAATATAGGAAAGATAGAGCAGACTCCATCCATACTTCAATTACCTATTATTTTATTAAGTAACAATTTCCTTCTATTTATTTCAAAAAGATAAATATAGTGCAGCTCTTATAAATAAAAAACATTGGATTGTTTATGTAGAGGGTCACAGTGAAAGATAATATTTTTTAAAACAACAATATATATAATACATATAAATACAAGACAAGACAACCATTTGAATAGAAACAAAAACCGTATAGAAAAATAATATCAACATATATATGTGGCCAGACTTAAATTTACATCATGGCCACAAAGAAGTTTCAATAGTTTAATTTAAACAAAAGTGATAAAAAAGTAAAATATAATGTAAATTTTATTTTTGAATCTTTCTATTCATGAACATAATATTAAAATTCCTACACTAGCTTTTGTATTTTTTTTTAATAGATGATAATGGAATGGCAACTCTGCTCATACTAACGGTATATATTGGCAGAGCACCAATGAGGGATAACAGGTGAGAATGAAAAGGCAGGTCAATTAGCCCATCATAATAAATATACCTGGGATTCAGCACTATGGTTTCTAGGGGGGACCACATGGAGGTCGCCTGACATGGTATATTGCTAGCAATGGCACTGGTAGTCCACATTATTAACAATTTCTTCCCATCCAGCTTTTGATATTAGGCCAAAAAGACGAATACATCAAGAGACAACCACCAGACCTTGTATTTTACATACTAAAAACATTAATGTACATTAAATAAAAAAAAAAATTACTCACATGAGTGCAATAAATATTAATCAACCTGTCATTGCACCTCACTCTACATAGACCAACTCCTTTACCACCAAACCAGTCACCATGGTGGATCTTGTGTATATAGCCATTTAGTGGCCACTGATGGAAAAACACATCTTGTATTAACCATTTAGAAAACACGCATAGGCCTGAACCCATTACACCACTGAAAAAGTTCACTTATTTAGTTATTGATTCATGATATAAAAAAAAATATAGAAATAATTTTATATACAACTATACCAAGGGTGAGAGTTGATAATAGATTAGTAAATACAATATAAGTAAGTATATTATAATTTAACATGTAGAGGTTTATCATTAATATTATTGACTATCACTTCATATAAAAAATGAGATTTACATAAAAAAAACTACCAAAATTGTTTACTAATGATGTGAAGTACAGAAAAAATACTACAGATGGGTATATGTGGTAATTTACAACATTACCTGTAAAAATAGTGTGAATAAGGAAGAACAATTTTCAGACTATCTTTAAAAAATAAATAATCATTCTCACTCCAAACTTCTTGTAAACAAACAATATTATGGGAACTCGTCTGAAGGTATTTAGAAATAGCTTCCATACGTTCTTTACGATTTTTCGATACTACTGGAATGCCCCTGAAACATATTTAGCTGCTGTTCAGTCATCGGTCAGGATTAAAGGAATATTTTTGTGAAAATGTATAGGTGTTTTAGTGGATAATTTATATCTTAAAAATATTAATAAAAAAATAAACTTGCAAAACACACAGTATATAAATATGTAGACGAATGGAAGGACAAAAAAAACTATTATTTATTTATATATTGCTATTATATTTAATATGTATGTAATTTATCTCCATATCGTTTTGAGTCTTGATAAAGCAAAATTATTAAAACTTGACAAACTATTATTGTAGAAGAGTAGATAGGCACGTACCAACAATTTAATGTAAAAATATTCAGTGTGAAATCCATTATGTTAATAACATTTGCGATGAATAATAAATATTTAAATTATATACTGATAAACTAAAAAGTAAAGAAAAAATATTATTGAAAATTAAATTAAAATTATTTATTTCGGAATTCTGTAATGTAACAAAGAGTAAATAAAAGAGTTCATTACAGTTCTGACACGTTTCGAAAGTCATATGTCGTGTAGAAGTCAGTCAATCAGAATGACATAATTCATGAAAATGACAGTGGATTTTTTGTTTTGGAAGTAAGAACACAGTACGATATTTGTAAATTGCAAGTGCTATCCCTAATCTACGGTAAAATTTTATTCTTTTTATGTTTTATCTATGGTATTTAAAGATAATTATTCATAGTAGTTGTTCGCGACATTATAAATTCTTTATATAAAAATGTATAGTTTATAGCGATATTTTATAGTTATTTTGTTAGTATAAGTCATTAGTTTTAATCATTTAAATTGTTAGTTTTATATAAACTTTATATGATGTATTTATAGTTTGTAAGTTGAATAAAGTATGGGAAATGAGTAAGTAAAATATTTAATTCAATATTCAAACGTCTATATATTTTCTAAAAAGAATGACAATTTTCAATTTATACTGCGCGCGCAACCTCGCATGCGCTGTTATTTATAATTTATTTTTCTACAGAAATTCAAAAGGTATTTATAAAGGTTTGTTATATATACAATATATATATATACGCCACATCACTCCCCTCCGAGACCGTTACTACGGGCGATAGTAATCTGGAAATTTAACTACTCGTCCTGTTCTTGTTTTTATAATTTCTTTAGGTGGAGGTAAGGCGTCCAGAGGTTCATGTAGAGCGAGGCTGCGGTCATCTAATATGTAGGCAGGTTTCAAGCGATCTATTGATACAGTAACAGGTTTGCCTTTAACTAATAACTTGTAAACTTTTTCAGATTTCTCCAGGACAGTATATGGACCGGTATATGCTGGTTGTAAGGAAGCTCGAACTGCATCTTCTCTTAAAAATACATGTGAAGCTGTTGGTAAATCCTTATAAATAAATATGGACGGTTTTGTATGTCTTGATGCAGGGGAAGGCTTTAAGTTATTAACAAACGAACGTAAGCGGGCAGTGTATTCTGTAACGTCTGTTGTTCCAGCTGTGCTTGGGTCGAAGAATTCTCCCGGTAATCGCAGCGGTTCACCATAGACTAGCTCTGCAGTGCTTGCTTATATGTCCTCTTTATAGGCGCTTCGAATGCCGAGCAGAACTAAAGGTAAGACTTCCATCCAGTTCTCTGTCGCATGACAGGTAATAGCGGTCTTCAGCTGTCTGTGGAATCTTTCTATAACACCATTACTTGCAGGATGATATGCAGTAGTTCTCTTATGCTGAAATCCTGATATTTTTGAAAGATGTTGAAACAAAGAAGATTCAAACTGTCTGCCGCGGTCTGTAACTATGTCCACTGGAGAACCAAATCTTGATATCCACCCAGCAAGAAAAGCTTTAGCAACTGTTTCAGCTGTAGCATCGGGTATTGGTATCACCTCAGGCCATCGAGTGAATCGATCTATAGCAGTGAGGCAATAGCGATTTCCATTACAGATTGGAAGTGGTCCGATGAGATCTATATGGACATGCATGAATCGAGCTCGTGGCAGCTGATAGGTACCTAAAGGTGAGGATACATGCCTAGTTATCTTAGAACGTTGACAAGCTAGACATGTACGCGTCCACTCTCTGCAGTCTTTTTTAATCCCTGGCCATACGTAGCGTTCTGCTACTAACTTGATTGTTGCATTAGCACCAGGATGACTCAATGAATGCAGGCTATCAAAGACTTGTTTGCGTATGGACTTTGTTACGTAGGGTCTAGGAATTGGAGTGCTCACATCGCAATATAATTCTGCATGCGTTCCAGGTATCTTCACCTTCTCCAAACGTAATGAAGTTCCATGTTCTAACAGATTCTTTAATTCTGGATCAGCTGCTTGTGACTCGGCAAGTTGAGAGAAATTGATAGACAGTTCCACCTCTTCCACTCTACTCAATGTGTCTGCGACTAGGTTGTCCTTTCCCGAGATGTGTCTCAAGTCAGTTGTAAACTGGGATATAAAATCCAGATGACGAAACTGTCTCGGTGAACATTTATCCCTGCGTTGGTGAAAGGCGTAACACAATGGTTTATGATCTGTAAAGATCGTGAAATCCCTGGCTTCAACCATGTGTCTAAAATATTTTAATGCTTCGTACACAGCAAGCAGCTCTCGATCATAAGGAGAATATTTTTGCTGCGCTGAGGTTAGCTTACGTGAAAAGAAGGCTAACGGTTGCCAATCTTCATCTTTATATTGTTGTAGGACGGCTCCGATTGCAGTTTCTGAAGCATCTGTCACAAGACCAAGTCTGCATTGGCAATCCGGATGAGCAAGAAGTGTAGCGCGGCATAGACTCTCTTTGCAATCTTCAAAGGCTTGAAGGGTATCATCACACAGGTTGATAGGGTAAGAACCTTTAACTGAGCCAGTCATGAGAGCATGTAGAGGTGCTTGAACTTCAGCAGCGCTGGGAATGAATCGTCTGTAGAAATTCAGCATCCCTAAAAATCTGCGGAGTTCTCGAACTGTCTTGGGAGGAGGAAATGATTTGATCGCTTCAACTTTCTCATCAAGAGGTTTGATACCATTGGCTGATATATTATATCCAAGAAATTTTACTTCAGACCGACCAAAGTTACATTTTGAAATATTGATGACAATTCCGTAATCTTTCAATCTATTGAATAGTATACGCAGATGCTGCTCATGAAGATCCTCATTTTTGGAAAAGACTAAAAAGTCATCAATGTAAGGGTAAACAAAATCCAATCCACGCGTCATTTCATCAACAAAACGCTGAAAAGTCTGCCCAGCATTTCGTAAACCAAACGTCATGGCAGGAAATTCATATAGCCCGAACGGTGTTGTGATGGCAGTCTTGTGGATATCGCTTGGATTTACTGGGATTTGATGATAGGCTTTGACAAGATCTATTGTTGAGAATACTGTGCAACCTGCTATACTGTGTGTGAAGTCATGAACATGTCTAACTGGATATCTGTCAGGAATGGTGCGAGCATTTAGCATTCGGTAATCTCCACAAGGCCGCCATCCGTTATCCTTCTTCGGTACCAGATGTAATGGCGAGGCCCAGGAGCTTTCCGATGGTCGAGCAATACCTAATTTAATCATAGACTCGAATTCTGCCTTTGCGATTTTTAATTTGTCTGGCGCTAGACGGCGTGGAGTACAGTAAATTGGAGGTCCGGGCGTAGTCCTGATGAAGTGAACGGTATTGTGTTTGATATCAGCTTGTTTTCTGGATGGATTTGTAATTTCAGGAAATTCCTTCAGGATTTGGTCGTAGCGAGACTCGCCGATTGGTATCTTGATAGAAGAAATTGCAGTCGACGAGTGCGCAGGAGAGCAAACGACGGACAGTGTCGTCGTGTTGTCTAACAATCGTTGGTTACGTAAGTCTACTAGAAGACCATAGAACTTTAGAAAATCAGCTCCTATAATCGCCTTAGTGACGTCACCAACAATGAAACGCCATGGGAAATCACGGCGCAAACCAAGATCCAAATCCAGGTGAGTATATCCAAATGTGCTGATCGTAGTACCGTTAGCAGCAGAAAGTTGGAAATCTGATTTAGGACGACGCTCATGCAGTGCTCGTCGTGGGAAGACACAAACATCGCTTCCTGTATCGATTAGAAATTGCATCTTCGACCGACGATCTACGACGAAACAGGCGACCAGACGTGTTGGGACGGCCGTTCGTCGCCATTACCGACCGCCCTGTGCATTTCCCGCCTGATAATCACAAGGCTTTACGCATCGTTTCGCTTTGGAACCAAACTTTGCATGATACCAACATTTCGGAAATTTTCTATAGTTGGATTCCGATCGCGTTTCAGAGCGGCTACGACTTCTCTGACAGGAACGGGGACGAGACTGACGATCCAAAAGCACTTTCATCTGCCTCCGGAGTTCGGCTATCTCGTTGACCATAGCGTCAAGTGATGATCCACATGTTGATGCAGCTGACACTTGCGGAGTAGCAGGGGCGATATCCTGGATACGGTCTGCCAAATCAGAGAGCACCTCTAGTGACGCTGTAGGTTGAGCAGCTATCACTGTCTGTACGTTGCGTGGTAGTCTACTTGTCCATATGGTCTTGAGAAAGTCCTCTGGCACGTTCGGTCCGGCGAGGCTTTGTAAATGCCGTAAAAATTGTGACGGGCGACGGTCTCCCAATTCCTCATGCATAAGTAGTTGATTTACCTGCTTCTCGCGTGAGGCACTTAGACGTTTGATAAGTTCAGTTTTCACTTTTTCATACTTTTCCGTCGGAGGTGGTGAAATTATAATGTCCTTCACTTCCTTTGAAAATTGGTGGTCAAGTTGTCCAATAACGTAATTAAACTTCGTTGCATCTGCTGTTATATTTGAGACGGCAAATTGGCCTTCAACCTGAGCAAACCATATTTCGGGTTCCTCCTGCCAAAATGGCGGAACTCGTATTCCCACTTTAAATATTTCGTCGTTGTTGTTAGACGATGCCATTGTAATATGCGTTTTTACGGGGTCACCAGTTATGGGAAATGAGTAAGTAAAATATTTAATTCAATATTCAAACGTCTATATATTTTCTAAAAAGAATGACAATTTTCAATTTATACTGCGCGCGCAACCTCGCATGCGCTGTTATTTATAATTTATTTTTCTACAGAAATTCAAAAGGTATTTATAAAGGTTTGTTATATATACAATATATATATATACGCCACAAAAGCATTTTATTGTGTCGAGTCCTTATTACCCACAAGTAGAAATAAGAAAAAGATTGTAAAACACTAGTAATAATCCGTATCCTGTCTTCTCACATTCCCACTACGTAGGAATGGGGAGACCAGTCCGGGGCTGGTTGGCCCCTCTCTGGTTGTAGTCCGCGCCATGCGCGACTGCGCATGGGTCGCTGGATGAGCCTTTGGCTGGTGGCTGCTTGTCGTCTTTATCGAATTCTTATGTTCCTCACGTGTGTGCCGACCGGCTCGCTCAACGCGGTCTTCGCCTGCCGGGTGAGACCCCTTGGGGGGAGGCCCAGCAAGCTGCCAGCGGATGTATGAGC